GACCGAAGCTAATTGCTTTTTGTATTGCCCATTCTTTCCAACTAAAAGTACCTGATAATTCTGCCATATTAGAAACACCTTCACTAATTAAAGCATTGGCTATCTGAGTCAAACCAAATGCTATTAAAACAGCTCCGGCAATGACTTGAACAAGTTCTATCATTGCAACGGCAAAAGCATTTCAATCCCACCAAGATTTATCTTCTTCAATAATCAAAAATTTAGTAAGATTAAAACCTTCAAAAAAATCTTAATTCACTTGGAACATTTTCTTGATCTTGAAGATCCATAAAATCTTTTAAATTAGCTTTTAAACCTTTTTTAAATGAACGAATATCTCCTTGTAAAGACAAAATTTTCGTCAAAATTAATTCTTTATCATTTTCGAGTTGAGTATTTTTTAAAATTTTTTTTAAAATTCTTTCAATATTTCTTTTAATATCTCCATATTTATATTTAGCAAGTCCACCAGACTTTAAAATATTTTTTTCTTTTTGATAAATTCGAATATTATTTCCTTCTTCTTCTTTAGTAGTAAATGGTAAATCTGTGTTGATAAAAATATTGATTTTGTTGATTAATATTATCTTTTAATTCTATTTAAAATGTTTTAAGATCTTTTGTTTCATGACCATTACCATTAAATTTAATTTTCGTATATTTTTCTTTCTATGGATTGTTCAAATAGAGAAATATTAACTTGTTGTGGATCTATTTTTATCTTCTAAATCTTTCCAAACATTTTCATATATCCGTGGTAATTCTTTTTCTATTCTATTTATATTTAAAATTTGCCATAATTCTTCACTATAACAAACAATATCGTCGAAATCTTTTTTACAAAAGAAGATTTACTATTTAATAAACTAATTAATGAGTCGGCAACCGAAGGATCAAGATCATTTCGAATTATCTTTTCTATTTTATCTCGTTCTTGTGAATTATTTCGAAATATTTTTCTTATTGTATCTCCTTGAAGAATTTCAAATTGAACTAAAAGTGAATATAATTCTTTTCCTTTATCTTGATCTTCAC